TCCATTCAATATTTGAAAATGTATTTAATCTCTGAGCCTGAGAAGCAGAATATTTCAATCTCATGTTTAATTTATCTACTACACTAATGTGCAACTTCTCAACTTTTACTTGGCCTAGAAAGATTAGAGGCATATTTCTACTCCATTATACACAGATTACACACTGTGAGTGTCTCCAAGCAGTAAGCAAGGTGCTTATTACACAAGAAAATATGTAGAAAGCAAAATTAAGATTTGTATTAACATTCCTTAGACACACAGAACATAATTTCTGTTGATTCCTTTTTACAGTGCTAGACGTAGTATTTTACTACATGCTTCTATTTAATTTCTTTTTCATTTGCTGCTAAACATTTGTGCTCTGATCATATTGAGTAGTTAAAATACCATTTAAAAGTTAAGTATAGGGAACTAGATGGAATACTCAGCAATTTTTATGACACTGATGATAAAACCTTGGCTTTTTTTGCACGGTGGATAATCCTTTCAACTTAGGCTAACTCTTTCACATTCAATTTGGATTTAGCCAAATTCTGCCCTCACTTAACAGCTTTGTAGTCCAAAGTGCTGACAACAAGGGTTGCACTGGAATAACCAAGAGCAAGACTTCATCTTCTGTCTTCATTGAGCATAGTTAATTCCTAGTTAATGCAGGAGGATTGACCTCAATTAAAAGAGGTTAATTTTCATTTTGAATCAATGTTTCAGATGATCTGGTAGCGTTTATTTAACACTTGTAATATCAGGAATGACTCTTTCACTTGAGATTACAGCTGAATAGTCCCTCAACCCCACCTTCCTTAAAAAAACTCTGTGAGACTTTTGGAACACCACACTTCTGACTCCCTGTCTTCTCAGAAGTTTTTCTCTCACCGGCCATGGAAATATATTTAGTTAGAAAAAAGCAGCATTTCATCTCCCTTAGAAGCCTCCCTGAGCATATTAGCATATTCTGTCAAATTATCTGACATGACTTGCAAATAATCCAAGTCTTCAAGTGTTCTCTCTCTCCTCTGTGGCACTAGTAAATAGCAGCAACATCCTCAGAAGGGGCATCTTCTGCTCCTCTGTTTTAGAGAGAGGTAGACAACATTCTGCAGTCATAGACTGCTTTATGGAAGGACTACTCAAGTTCATGAAAGGCCCACTTCTGAGAAGACAAGAAACGTGAACTGAGGAGAACCCACTGTACTCATGTCAAAGTTTTATCTTCTGTCTCAACCCCTAGATAAACAAGAAGCCACTCTTGATTACCTACTCCTTGGTTAAGCAACTTGCATCTCAAGGGAGAGACTAGAGATTTGGGAAAGTGAGTGAAAAGACAGTATAAAGTTCTGTCACATTCTCTCTCTTTATGCTCCATATAGAACCAACATACGCACAGCTGCTTCTCAAGCAGGATTTAGAGAAGGCTGCTCATGTTCTCACCTAGTTGTACAATGAACATCTGCAAAATGTGATCAAGCTGGCTAGAAATATAAGATCATGACATCAAAAGTTCAGTTCTATAGTGAAAATATGGCTTTCACGTGCTTCTGGCTTCAAAGCTCCCCAACAAAACAGAGAAGAAATCATGTAAAGTATTACCATTTGCTGTTCATCAGAAGTACCAAAACATCTTTTGGTTACAAGTATACATACATATGTTTAATAAGATTATCAAGCCTATGAATTTAAGACATTCCAGAAAAAAAGTAGCAGATATATTTTTTTCTGACACAGATTCTTGTTATGTAATTTAATGGAAATGTTACTGCTAAACTCTCAAAAAAATCTTCACAAAACTGTATGGACCTACAGGGGCAGAAAATAGCAGACTCTCCCAGGGAAAGGTTTCATGATCCTGATTCACTGCCTGATTTTTTTTTTTTTTTTTTTACACTATGTCTGCGCATGCTTCGTCATTCTGCCATCTGCTGTAACAAAATACAGGCAAAGCATTTTTGAAAATAAGCCCTCTGCACGTTAAAAATGCTCCCACCCTTCTCACAAGCTGTTGAGCTGATTATCCTCTCCTCATTCTCCCTTGGCCCCACCATCACATGCTTGATGAATTAAATACATGTACCAAGCAGGGAGACATAGAATCCCATTGATTTTGCCACAGTGTTTCTATTAAATGAAATGAATAGTCATACATTTTACTTTACTGTGTAAATGCATCTACTGGAAGGACAGAAATATCAGGTCATTACCATTAAATTTTTAATTTTGGGACTCCCAGTCAAATTTATTTCTTGTTTGGTATTGTTTGCAAATACATAATGTATACTGATGTTGATTGATATAGCACTGAAATTATAGAGTATGAGCAGAGTGGTTTTTAGTGCATTCTCTGTACAGTCAAAGTTTTTTCCTGGTGCAGCAGCACAAATCTCTTGGTAGCAGTAAACTCTCTACACATACTGCATTCCCGAACACATGTTCAAAGGTGATAAAATAAATGCAGATGGTTTTCCAAAACCTCAGAGGAGCATTTTTTACTGTTGCTAAATGGACTATAAAAAAATAGGTAAAAAAATGGAGAAAATTTACTTTGACACAGAAAGGCAATTTCAGAATAGCATTCAATCATTTGGGAGAAAAGCTAAATGAAATGTGTTTTTGTAATGATCTATTGGCAAAATAATATTGACAGAATATTGAAATTGCCTAATAGGAGTGAGTTTCAAAATACTTAAAGTAAGTATTGTGAGCTGAGTATTTTGCTTAAGTACTTAAACATACAAAAATGTCAGATAGGGAACTTTTAATTCTGTGTGTCATCACTGAAGCCGACAATAAAATCATCCCAAGCTACAAGCAAAACAGAACTAAGCTTTAACAAATTTATTACAGGCTTTGCTTACAAACTTGTTACAAAATTATACAGCATCTTATGTGTACACAGGTTTTACAAGAACATGTAACTAATGAGTGCAATTGCTCTGCTCTCTGATTGAGATCTGCAGGTTTCTCTTCACTGATGGCCTGATGCAGCTTTCCCCTCAGTATTTTTTTGTTGACTTCAATGGAAGTTGGATCATACCCAAAGTGTAACACTTCTGTTCATTTCTATACTGAGGTAAGAAAGAGGCAGCTGATCTCATAACCTTATGCACCCTGTTTCTTTCCTATGTAATATGTTTCAGATGATTGTAGTTATATTTGCTCTGATGTGTTTTTGCTGGGCACTTAGAAAACACTCAATGTATCAGTGATGTTACGAATGATAATGACTTTCTTTAACTAGAATAACAAATTGTTTTCTTTAAACCTATGAAGAATGATCATTTTCAGTGGTAGAAATAATTAGAATAGAATCCATTTTGATTTTAATTACATTGCTATAATAATACATTTTTTCACCTGTATTTAGCATACTTTCTCTGGATATACAGTGGTGTAAACAAGAGCACCATCCATACTCCAGGAACAGTGAAGTCACCAATTAATGGGATGTAAGCAACAGTGTCTATTCAAGTTCAGAGGATGCTCTTCTTATATAGATATAGACCAAATTGATGCATGGAAGAATGGAAACCTCTGAAGTCAATAACAGATGACAGTATCTAGTCTCAGTTATTCATCGTATCTGAAAATAATCTCTATTTGGAAATTTTGGGTGTAAAATTAAGTTTATAACCTGGAAAATTTTTCAGTGGGACAGTCCTCTTAAAAGCATGCTTCTCCTCACAAAAGAAAAATTAATAGTCATGGGTTATTGTAACCTACACTTTTCTGACAGTAAAAATAGCACAAGATCTGTTGATGGTTTTCTTTTGTTTGTTTTCCAATGAGGGAGAATTCAGGAAAAAAATCTAATCACATTTATTAGATACTGAGTTGCTTGTTACATCATCTCTTCCCTTTTAATCATTGCCTTTGTACTAAAACTGAAGCTATTATTGCTTGAAGCAAAGTTAGTTTTTAGTCCACTGAGGTGATTACTTTTCCTCTGAGGTAAATACCCTGGCCTCATATTGATAACAGAGAATTCTCAAAAAATCTTTTTGTGTATGACCTTCCCTCCAGAATTACACCTCCATGCTCCAGCCTAGTTTTCAGAGTGTCAGCTATTCCCTTGCTTGTGCTTGTGAGAAACCTATCCATTTTATGATGTGTAAGGCTCTCTGCAAGGGATTAGGGAAGACCACACAATTTGCTGCATCGATCACCTGTTTCAGATTCAAAGTTGATTCTTCAGTAGTGAAAATTATATGAATAAAGGCACCATATCACCATATTTTCACCATATTTTTGCATACTTTGATCTCATTTTCATTTCTAATGTGGAACATGCTACAGCAATGAAAGCCATAATGTAAAAATTTAAGACCACTATAGCTGCTTTTCTAAAGGGCTTTGTTTTGAGCACTGATTGTGGATTAAGTATTAGCTACGGACAGATAATTTATGTGGTTCAATCTTAGTTCTGTTGACCAAAATCCATGACATGACTCTGATTTACTTTTATGACAGTAAGATACCATCCAGGGCATAATATAGCTGATGTAGAATGGCCCTTATCTTCAGTTAGAATAATTATTAGTGTCCCCACTGGAACTACATGACAATGCAAAAAATAGTTTGAGGTATTTGTTAGCAAGTTTTTCTGCCCTAACCACAAACCTGTGTGACTGAATAACTTTATTATAGCTATGATTTACCTGAATTTTAGTGACAGTATGGCTCAAAAAGAAAAATAAAATCTTTTATGTCTCTGTGAAAAGTGCCAGGTTTGCTGTGAGGTTCTACTCATTTTTTCCTCTATTAAAAACAAGGACTGTGTTACTTTGGAGAACAGTTTCATATGGGTGTGTGGCTTTGATAACCATCCTAGGATATAATCTCTTTCTTTATTATAATTCTTAATAATTATATATTCTTGGCTTAAGCCAAGACATTAAGACAACACTGGCTTTGTTTCTAATTTAAAAATTCAGACAGAGAAGAATGATGTAAAAATTAAGCATGAGATAATAGATTAGTGTAGAAGAAAAGGTCAATCACAATAAATACTATATCCAGAAGAAATAATCATTTATGTATTAATGATCCATTCAGATCCGCTCTTGGTCTCATTAGTTTAGTTACAAACATTTTAGATTTTTTAAATATTGTTTCTAAGATTACTTGTCAGCATTAGAAATAGTTGCAAAACTAATGTACTTTAAAAACAACAGTGGTTGCTGGATTATAAACAATCATCCTGAAATGCTAACAGGGAAAACGGTCATTTCACTGACAAAACTGACACAATAAAGATAAATTGTATTTTACAGTTACTAGATAACTCTGACAACAACATCAGCTGCAGGCTACGACTCAGATTTTAGTTCTTTTCTGTTTTAGTGTTGATACTGAATCCAATTAAATGTGAGTGTATAGTGAGAAATACAAATATATACACAACTCTTGACATTAATCTGATTTTTAACAAGTTTACAAAATAACTGTCACTGGTTTGACTATACTGAATTAAGAATACTGATTTTACAGAGATTTTACAGTCAGGTTATGGTGTTCTGCCAACAAACAGTGTCACAAACATAGCCTAAAGAAATCTGCAGTTGCCCATAGCAGAGACGCACAGCCTTTAGTCTTGTTTATTGAGAGAGAAAGCTTATATACTGTGGATTTGCTGAAGTTTAATAAATAAGGTCAACTTATAATATATAAAACAATATTAACATTTATATGCTACATGCATATCATATAATTTAAAGTAATAACTTATATAGCAAAGAGATGCAGATTTATGTTCTTCCTATTTTTCTTGACAATGCACACACGCAGGAGGTGTCTATTCTTATCCATCTCCAGCCTACAAGTTTATTGTTTTCTGAAGTCAGTGCTCTAACATAAGTTTGGGATGTCTTGCATTGGGAGTTCCAGTGCTTGTCGTCAATGCCTCGGCAGCCATTTTTAACAGGTTTGGCTTCTTTACATCTTGTTTCATAAAAATATTGCTTAACTGGAGAGTTGCCTGTTTTAATTTCTCCCAGCACAGTTACCTGGTGTCCTCTAATGTCAATAGCAGATGATTTGTCCGTGACCCATAAGCTTTCACTGTCACAAACAGAATATTCCCCTCGGTGGCTCTTGTGCTCTGCGTACCTTTTCCTCCGAGATGTTCTGTTTAATACCACTGAATTTCCAACATAATCCTCTGTGAAGTACAGTGGTGGTGGTTGCAGTGGTGTGTTGTCACTCAGGAGAACTCGAGGAGAGTTGTAGCGTCTCTGCTGCCTTAAGAGGTCTGTATCCATTGAAATAATTGGCTGGAAGTCTGATTTCATATTTTCATCTCCATCCATCTCCTGGTGATCCTCTACTTTCTGCACTATGTTTTGATAGTTTTGCATGACATCTATTGTCTGCTTAGAAAGCTTGTTTTTCAAAATGTCTGCCCGAATGAGTTTCATAATGAGAGAATTCATTGAATCTTCTGGCAAACTCCTTTGATCCATATTGTTTGACTGAATGCCACGAAGATATGCAAGAAATATCACATAAAACAAGATGGACATCACCTTGTTCACCTGTAAGATCTACAAAGAAACAGAAAGTCAAGATAAAAGCAATTAAGTAAGATTTACTAAATGCTTTAAACATAAAAATTATGATTAATTTTTAATGTTTTACTTCTTATGCAGTAATGATAGATACAGATAGGCTATATGTATTTTAATACATTATTTAATTTTATTCTGTACTAAATGCAAACATTTTACAATTTCTTTTTTCAGCATTTAATCAACCTCTCATGCACTTTTAAGAATGATCTAACTTTTATTCATTCCTTGCATAATGACAGACATGCCAGTTAAGTCCCATCTCCACAAAGTTAGGTAGCTACTCTTGGGAAAGCATGACCAAGCCTTGATAATGAACAGATGCTAAATCACTTTTGCAGAGTCTGTTCTGATGAGTGGTTGGTTTTAAAAAAACAAGAAGAGTAGCAGACTTTAAAGTGATATAAAATGAAAAAGGTCTGACTTTGCTAAGTGTCAAGAATTTGCATGTGTTGAAATCTCACGAATACATCAAATTTCTGTTCATCAAATGGCTTGTATCTAACCTTAAGATCATCATCATACACTGAGAAATAAATACAGTGTTTGAATAGTGTTCTCTCACTCAAGCTATAAGATAGAGTACTCTTGAAGAGAAAATACACTGTTAAGCTGTAAAGTGGTGTTTCTTATATTCTGAACATCGGAAACCAATGTTTAGGCTTTTATAATACAAGTGGGAAGTCCAGATAGATCCACTGAGCTTTTTTTTTTTTTTTTTTCGTGGCTTTTTTTCTGGGCTGGGGTCAGTTTGCTATTTTTCTTTTTTCTTTTAATGAAGTTCCCTTGTTTCATGAGTGGAACAAAACTGACTTAAGCTAGAAATATTCATGGACAGAAGGACAACCTTCTCCCCACTCCTCTTGAAAATGAAGTCTTGTTCAAATAGATCAAAATGAACTCGAGACTGAAATTTTGAAAACTGTGCTTCTTTTTGTACTGCACTTAGCCATACTATGCTTAATGTGGATTCCTGCATTGTCTTCCTAATTCTAGCTTCTAAGTATCTTCTGAAAGCCCTCTGGCCACTTGGTTCAATCCTTTTATCATACTGTAGTTGAGAATTATGAGCATTTGTGTAAGGAAGTGTTTTTTTCCCTTGTGGATAACTGTTTATTTTGTATTGAATTGCAATTGAATTTAAATGAAACTAATATTCACTGTCAAATATAAGATCATGGAAGAAAACCATTGACTTTGAAGTAGACTAACTGAAATTTTTACACAGGCAGTGGACTGAAGATGAAAATATAAAACTCATGTTGTTACAGAACTGTCATACCATGTGAGAGGCCCTGGGTGAAGTACTGCCTCAAGTGACTGAAAAAAGTCTTGAGATTCATTCTCCCACACTGCAAACTAGTCCACCATATGTCAGTTTGCTAGCATTCGGGAATGAAGTCACAGATTCAAAAAATTGCAGAACAGCTGACGTTGCAAGGATCCTTAGGAGATCATCTACTCTAATATTTCTTCACAAAGCAGGGTCACAAAGCTGAAGCAGCTTGCATAGGACTATGTCCAGTCATTTCATTAATATCTTCATGGATGAACACTTTAAAACCCATCCAGGCAATCTGTTTCAGTGTTTTATCACCCTCATCATAAAAAAACTAAAAATATCACTTATTTCAGTAGTTTCTTCTATTTCAGTTTGTGCCCATTTCTTCTTGTCATTGTATGGAACGCTTGATAGAGTTTAGCTCCACCTTCTTTACTCTTTCCCATTAAGTATTTCTACACCTTGATAAGATCTGTCTGAGTTTCTCTTCTCTGGGCTAAGCAGTCCCATCTCTCTCAGCCCCTTTTTGTATGACAGTCCCTTAGTCATCTTTGTTTCAGTGTGTCCATGTCTCCTGTATTAGGGTGCTCAGAACTGGACCGAGCACTGCAGATGTGACTTCACCAGTACTGAATAAAGCGAAAGAATCACCTCCATTGACTTGCTGATAATGTTTTGGGTACTGTGCATTTTCTCAGAAAAAAACTGCAGAGAAATCTGACCTTTTAAAATAAAATTTTCTAACAAAGCATTTTCTGTTTAAGAAGGCAGAGAAAAAAAAAAAAAAAGGAAAAAGGGGAAAAGGGAAAAGGGAACGAAGCAAAACTTGTTTTAGCAACAGTGAGTCCCCTCTTCATAGTTTGGAACTGCGGCAAAATCAGAGCTACCCTCTGTGGATGTCCTTTTATGGACAAGAAATGCGTTTTCTCCATTCTCAGTCTGTCACAGTATGAGTTCGCCTAAATCTAGACAGTTGTTTGCAGCAAAGCTATGCTTTGAAAGAAATTCTTAGATTTTCAGTTACCATGCAGTTACTGTCATACCTAAATAAATACTAACTTCATGTAGATGGATCTCAGAACCCAGACTGAGTTGTATAAAAGATCTTTTCCTGTGCAATTTAGCTTGCCCTTGGTAAATTACAATCCTTATAAAACAGAAATGACATTTTAAAACATGTGTCATTCAACAGGTTTCTCATAGCACTCACAAGAACTAATATGACACACAAGGCCATAGAATGGTTAGGAAAGCTCTGAGAACACTGCTCAAAAGCTGAAAGCATTATTCATGCCAGCATGCAGCTGCATGTAATCACTGGTCTGCTTCATTTCAAAACTAAGTGGCACTCACAAAGTACACAAGTTGGAGCAGGTGATGAGGTGAGAAAAGTAAGACTAGAGTTCCTGCAAACTCCATTTAATGTCATACTGCACACAGATAGGGTTAGAGACCTCAAAATCAAATCAGTTAAAATAAACTGTTTTTTTTTTTTTAACCCATGGCAGAACTATGTTAATGGTAAAAATCTTTTGTTGAAAAATATTTTGTTGAACCTAAAGTAAAATGTCTTATAAATTTGGTGTGAAAAGTTTATACTACTCCGAAATTTAACCTGCAGTTTAACTTCATCTTAATAAATAATGTGCTACAAAAAGTAAATTGTCTCAGAACAGATCTTTACAGTTTTCTGACATACTTTGGGGACAAGAATTTGGAAAGAAAATGCAAAGATGGGGTTAAAGAAATTACAGTTTACCTGTGAAGATAGTGGTGTACTCAGAAATTCCAGTCCAGAAAGATCATGTGAAGTTGGCTGTGACACACAGCCTACTTAACATTAAGGTATATCATCTTGCCTGACTTAAGTGAGTCCTCAGTATATATCGAGTATAACCATACATAAAACTGAATCAGTATAATAATCTTTCTGTGCAATATGTACTATGCCTGACCTTGTTGTTCTGTGGTTGTAGAAGATTTTAGAGATCTCAGTTTGAATCTGAAAAAATTGACCTAGCATCTTCTCTGGATTTACATCAAAATGTATCCCTTATTGACCTACCTGTTTATGATGAAATCATCATTTGACTAGGAACTCAGTATTGGAAGAACGTAGTGGTAGATAACTTGATTCGCTTTGTGCCTGTAGCCTCCTGCACCTCCAAGTTCCATTTCCATTCCACGTTTTGGTAATTCAGGAAGGGCTGCTGATATATTCTGTAAAACTTTTTTCCTGATCTGCTGAGAATCTTTGGATTAGGTTTGCTTTCATCTTCTACTATTCTGTGTTGTCTTCTAGATATTTAGGATGTAGCTTTGATGCTTTGAGCTACTCTAGACTCTTGCTAGAGGTGGTTAAAAAGAGTGGGTGGATACATGGTTCAAAGAAGCCATTAAATGTGGTCAGTGTGCTATGTGAAATTTGGAGAAGTAGTGGTCATCAAAGTAGGAAAATATTCATTTCTTCTTATTTATCCCTTTGTATAGTGTCAGTCTCCACTTACGCAGAGATGCTATCTCAGCTTTCAAAAGTGATTTAAAACATGTCAACAGGAGCAAAGATCCATAGCAGAACTAGGAGTAGAACTAAATGGCAATTAAGCAGTCTGAATGGTAAAGAGGACTTATAGGAGCGGATATTACACCGTGGCAGGAAAGCCAGCAAAAACTGATAGTATACAGAGCAGACTGTTAATGTGCACTAAACAAGTTTGACTTGGAGATTGCTGACATTCATGGCATAACAGGTAAAAACAAACATTACTAAAAATATGATGCATTGTGAAGTTGTTCAATCTTTCAAGTGCACCTTAGCTTTATTTTATTTTAATGGTTTATATTCCCATGATGTTGACAGGGTATTGATGCTGTCTAGCATATGCGTCTTGGGGAAGTCCTAAATTTAGGAGAAATAAACAATCTTACCTATTATTTTCATTAAGAAATGAAATCCCCACCAGTCTCCGGTAAATTACTTTCCAATCTATTCTGACACAATGCTTTACATAAGATTGGAAAGCTTTCTTTTGTTTTCTTTGTGGTGATTAAAAATAATAAATATCTTTTATTTTGATTACTCTCTGAACAGTCTACACAGCTGAAGCGCAAAATGTCATTTAATATGTGCTGTGAAAATAGTGAAACCCTAGTACTGTGAGACACAGCCTAAGTATCCACTTTTAAGTCATTGCTGAGAGGAGCCGGAATAGAAGCTGGTGTGACTGGTAAATTTTTCATTCAGTATTGTAATACCCAACATGATTTATGTAAGTCAGCTTGAAGTATGTGGCACTTTCTGAAAAATTTAAGAACAGCTTTTTTTTTTTTTTCCAGACTAAGCAATGATCATTTGTAGTGGCTGACAGTTTATTCAGGCTTTTGAATGCTAACAGTGCAATTATTCTCATAGTTGCTAAACTATTTTCACAAACTCTCGGAAAACAAGAAGTAACAAAATGCCCTTTACATTTCCTAATCTTTATAACTTTGTTGATAAGAAATGCAGTCCTTACCTTCTGTGCTTAGGGAGGGAATGAAAATGTACAGAATGAAAGATATCACTGTATCATGAATATTCAGATGGCAGAAGATAGATTATGAAATAATTGTATATTAAAATTTGCACATATTTCAGAATAGAAATTGACTATTTGTCAATATCAAATTGACTATTTGTTGTTGACTAT